ACACACACACACACACACACAGCCATCATCTCCCCCATGGACCTGAATTTGAGTGAATGTCAGTCTCCCCTGTGACATGTGGAAAATCAAACTCCACTCCTATTGGACTGGCATCCACCCAGAGAGCAGAGAGAGTAAAAGGTACCAGAGGAGAGAGCGGAGAACAAAGAACTCCAGAAAACGGAGCAGGGTATGACAAAAGAGCAGTTTAGTGAGGAGCAGAGCAGAGCAACAAGGACAATCTGAATTTGTAACACAGGATTTAGCACCCAGCCCCGTCCTGTAGTGTGCTGCTGGTTCCGTCAAGGTTCAGCTGCATGATGTTGAATTGTATTTTTTTTCACTCATGTAAGGTAAATTTTTTGAGATTTATGCACTATATCGTGTCCTTTTTCGCCAGCAATCCAATATTGAGTGTCCAAAAGCTTAATGTACCATAGCTTGCTGGTGAGTCTCTGTTATAAAGGTAGTAAACAAACGACTGCGGGATCTCCGACACAGCTGTCATGAATGTTTTATTTTATATTTGTCTTCTTCTTATTTTCTCCTGTAACATATTAAAACTGTTTAAATGAATTCTCCTTCTCTCTCTCTCGTGCAGTTGTGAACTGCTCAGATCCCGGCCACGTGGAGAACGGTGTGCGCCAGTCTGGCCTACATTACCCAGAAGTCTTCAGCTACGGCGTAACCGTGGCAATCCACTGCAAACGAGGCTTCTACCTTCTGGGCTCCGCGCTCCTCACCTGCCAGCATGATGGACTGTGGGACCGACCGACCCCTCGTTGCCTCGGTACGGATGGACAAACGCAGGAAGCTCGACAAGTATCTGAATTGAGACAAACAGAGGCGGCGCAGAAGACAAATGAGACAGAAGCAGAGACAGAATGACATTCATAGGCCTGTAATGAAAACCTTTGTCCTATTGTGAGCGAGTAACTTCTTGAATTTCTGCAAAAACATGTCAGCAAAAACAAAACAAAAAAAAGTAGGCAGGCAGGTGGAGTTCTATTTTTATTTCTTATTATATGTCAGGAAAAGCCATTTGAGGAATGAAATGGCTTGAAGAGCCACTGGGAGGAAGACGAGGACCGAATGAGAAACTGAGAGAATAGGCGAGGGTTCAAGGGAGAAAATGAGAGGGAAGTAATCACAAAAAAGGGCCAGAGTGTGAAGGGAAGGGGTTTAAAGGGTTGGGCGTGTTTGAGTATATGTGTGTGTGTGTGTACAGAAAAGGAAAAAAAAAAAAAGTGAGCATCTGTCTCTTAAGGCAATAGGTGTTCTTGTTAGGGAGCTACCATGGCTGATAGAAACATAGAGATTAAACTAGAGAGCGATAGAGAGAAGGAGGGTGATTCACAGATGAAGAGAGAAACACAAAGAGGCGATCAGAACCTCAGAACGAGGACACAGCAGCAGCAGAGAGGCAGAGATGAGGAATCAGACAGAGAAGGGAGGAAGGGGGCAGACGCTGGCGAGGCTCCCGCGTCTGTGCATCGAGCATTACATTCGAGAAACAAGGTCTTATCGGAAAATTGGGGGGAGAGGGGTGATGACGGAGGGCCAAGGAGGGGATGGAGTAATACAATTTGGGGGTAAGGGGAGATATCGGAGGACAAGTCATTTGGCAGAAATAGAAAAATCGAGAGCGGTCTCATATCTGTGTCCTCCAGAAACCTGTGCTCCGTAAAACATAGATTTCTCCAAAATTGAAGAAAAAAAAAATTAGTAGATTTATTTCATAGATGTCTGTTTGCTTTGACACTGTGGAACGATTTCTGCTAGTTTTTAACACAGACGCGAGGGAGCGACTCTTTCTATGTTTTCCAGCTAAAGTGAATTTAATTTGAGATGAGTTATTGGTTTTCGCTCGCTCGCTCTCTAAGGCAATTCAATTAAACTCAATAAAAGTAAGCTTCACTGGCATGACTGTACACTGCCATACAGTGTAAGCAAAGCAAGTTTAATTATCTATGTATGTACAAGCCATATTGTACACTTGCAAAAAGGCGTAATGAGCGCACACCACATGGTTAAGACGCACAACCGCACTGTGCCGGTTTTGTTTCCAGCTGACGTTTGTTGCACTTCTCTCTCGCTCTCTTCTCCTTCCCACGTTTAATCTTCCACTCGTTCTTTCTCTGTTCCCTGTTAGTGAGCACACACACAAAAACAACAAACACTCCTGTTAATCCCACCCCTTCTCTTGCCGCCATGCCCTCCCTCGAGCTCTCCCACGATGGCCCAGCTGCACCACCTAATGCAGTATCTGGAATCTATAGTTGGACACCGTATCTCTCTCACACACACACACACACACTCAACCTTTCTCACTCTCTTTCAATCTTTTGATGTCTCTGAAGCTATTTCCTGCGGTGACCCCGGCGTACCCCCCAATGCAGTCGTATCTGGAACCCACAGCTGGACGTACGGTTCGGTGCTGCAGTACTCCTGTCTGCCTGGTGGGGTGCTGGTGGGAAACGCCACTCGCCACTGTCAGGAGGACGGCACGTGGAGTGGAGCGCCGCCCTACTGCACAGGTAAGGCTGCACGTCTGACTGATGTTGTTGATGTAAGCTACACTTTCATGCTTTACAAAACAAGATGCATGTTGGCTGTTTCTAAAGTAATAATCCTGAGGCTTGTACTATGAAGCAAGTTCAGCACTACCCGGGGTATCCAGTGAAGCATTTTTTAACGACAACCAACTGCAAACACACCTGCTGTCACCAGAGTGTCATATTTTATAAATAAAGCTATTATATTGCTAATTAATATGAGAGAAATACAAACATAGCCACAGCAGCCAAAGCAGGAAAGAAAGCTGCAGAAAAAAAAAAAAACTACAGGCTGCGTGAATGTGTAATTATTAAGCTTATCAATATCACTGTCCTTTTGTTTATAAGCTGCTTAGATGTAGGTTTCTTATTCAAGATTCGGCTTAATTATCATCATGCGTCACAAGAAGACTGTTTAATGAAATTACACGTCGTCTCTTTCACAAAACAGACTAATTACTTAACACATAAACAATCAAGTGATAAACTAACAGCTATTTTTATGGTTAATTCTTACATTTAGTCTTATTCTTATAGTGCATTAGACACTTTGAGTCTTGTTTGTCCAGCAGCGTTAAACAGTCATGGGAGCAAGTAAAGAACAAATATAAAAACATCATTCAAGCCGATAAGTAGACTTGCCACGGATCTTATAAGGTCAACAATCTCTCCTTTTAATCAGTTTCTGTTTTAGGATTATGTCGCTCTCCAAAGGCATATAGAACAAGGAAATGGCTTTGAAATTGCTTGCGGCTTTTACCCTCACGCTTTCAGAACATCGAGGTCAATGGGATTTTCCAGGAATGGCGACAGTGATATTTTTCATGAGAACTGATTGCTCAGTAGGCGGCGTTTTAATACCTGTTGATCTGAGAAATGGTAAATGGTCTGCAATTACATAGCGCTTTCATCCAAAGCGCTTTACAATGTGTTTCTCATTCACACATTCATACACCAGTGGTAACAGAGCTGCAAGGTGCTGCCTGCCACTGGGAGCAACTTTGGGTTCAGTGTCTTGCCCAAGGACACTTCAAGGTCCTTGGAGGGGGATCGAGGGGGGATCAAACTGCCAACCTTGCAATTGGAGGACAGCCCGCTCTACCACCTGAGCCACAGCCGCCTAGAGAAATGTCTCGTGTCCAGCCTAAGTTACCATGGAGATGTACTCCAGTGAGAAGTGGACCACCGTCGTAGAACTGAAAACCCAGAGTTAAAACTGAATTTACATCAAACACTGCTTCATAGTACAGACTCGCAGTTACATTCTTTTAAAAGTACTACTGCTGTCAACAAGAAAACGTGTATCATAAAATCATATACGTCTTGATGAGCAGATGTTAAAGTCAAAACTTAATTTGCTAGTTTTTTTTCACATAAAACTGGTTCAGATGTCAAAAATTCTTAATATCCCATCTGGCACGTCGTAAGCGAGCCATTCCACGCAGGCAAGACAGAATGAAGATGTCTCTCTTTAGCATAACCTACTGTGCAATGTCACCTGCAGCGTAAAGTGAAGCTGTATGCCAGTAACAGGTACTAACTGGAACCGACAGGAACAAATTATTGACGGACATGGTCCTTGTGTGTTTCAGAAATACTCTTCAGCTGGATTTGCTTTTGATTTTCGATCAATGGGGATGTCATGTGCTAACGTGTTGATAATGACAGTGGTGGGCTGCCAGCTAGGCCCCTCCATACTACCACTGAAAGAAATTCTCTCTCTTCCCGATGACATTGTTATTCTAGTTCGTACAAAAGCCCAGAGGTCTAAATCTAACTACGTGTGATTGTGTTCCAAGACTAGATTACCACAATTCCAGACATAAATGACATACCGGAACAGACATTATAATTTAAAATCAGTTAATCAATTTAATAGGTGGCAAACTGCAGCAAGCTGTTTATACCTTTGATCGTAATTACCCGCCGTCTAGCTTACAAAAGCCAAACTAATTCTGTGCTTCCCTTCCTTGCACTTATCCTCCTCATGGCTCAAGAAAAAGAAGGTATAGGGAGAAAACATTTCCAGCATTTACCAAGATCTTTTTTAAAAAGCACTATTACAGTAATTTGCTTGCTTTTAGTTTGTGCATTGTATCAGAGAGGTCATCATCTGAGGATCTTGCTCGTCATAGTTGTTTCTTGAGAGAGTTTTATATACAGTAAGGGGAATAAATATTTGATCCCCTGCATATTTCATGATGTTGGCCACATACAAAAAATTAGCAGTCTATATTTTTATTAATAGGTCTATTTTAACTGTATGAGAGAGAACCAAAAAAACACATCATCTGACAGTTATACATTCATTTCCAGTTGATCAAGGAAAATAAGTATTTGATCCCTTTCCTGCCAGCAAGAATTCTGACTCCCACAGATTAGTTACGTGGCCAAGAGGCACACATATTAACCCATTCTGCTTCTGAAACTCATTATCTGAACTGGTTACATGTACACGTGTGAAAGAAACCTGTCCAAAGAATCACACTTTGCATCTTCAACTTGGGTTAGAACCAAAGAGTTATCCAAAGATTGTAGAGCTTCACAAGGCTGGAAAGGGCTACAAGATCATTGGTAAGCAACTTGGTGAGAAGGTGACAGCTGTTGGTGTGATTCATTCACAAATGGAAGAAAGAAAAGACAACAATAAGGCAAGATCTCACCTCGTGCAGTATCTCTGATCATCATAAAGGTCAAGGAGGAACTTGGTAATGATCTCAAGGCCACTGGGACTACAGTCACCAAGAAAACCAACGGTAACACACTGCAGTGTAATCGTTTGAAGTCCTGCAGTGCTCGCGAGGTCCCCCTGCTCAGGAAGGCACATGTACAAGCCCACCTGAAGTTTGCCAGTGAGTATTTGAATGATACTCAGGAGGCTTAGGAGAATGTGATTTGGTCAGATGAGACCAAAATTAAGCTCTTTGACATCAATTCAACCCATCGTGTTTGGAGAGAGAAGACTGCTGACTATGACAAACACCATCCCCACAGTCAAGCATGGAGGTGGAAACATTATGCTTTGGGGCTGTTACTCTGCAGGACGACTGCGCCGCATCAAGGGAACAATGAGTCGGGCCACGTAAGGGAGAAATCTTCAGCAAGAATCTCCTTCCCTCAGCCAGAGCACCTGAAATGGGTCATGGGTGGGTCCTCCAGCATGGAGTGGCTCACCAAGTAGCACATTAAGGTCATGGAGTGGCCCAGCCAGTCTTCAGACCATAATCCTATAGAAAATCTATGACGGGAGCTGAATCTTCACGTTTCTAAGCAACAGCTGTGGAACCTGAAGGATCTGGAGAGAACCTGCAAAGAGGAGTGGTTTAAAATAGCTCCTGAGACGTGTGCAAACCTGGTGGCCAGCTACAAGAACCGTCTGACAGCTGTGGATGAGAACAAGGGTTACATTACAAAGCACTAAGTCATGTTTTGGGGGATCAAATACCTATTTCCCTTTATCAACTGAAAATTGATTTATAACTGTTAGATAATGTGGATTTTTTTTGTTTCTGTCTCAGTTAAGATACACCTACTATTAAAATTATAGACTGATCGTTTTGAGGTTTTTTTGTGTGTGGCCTAAATCATGAAATATGCATGGGATGAAATACTTATTTCCCTTATTGTATTATTATTGTCAATTCAGTTATTTAAAAAAAAAAAGCAATAAAACTGACATTTGAATGTCTTGCTCGTCTAAACTGTATATCCTATACTATGTGTAACTGCACTGTTCTGTATACAATCTGGCTGTAGCTGCATGTGCAAGAAATAATGTCTGGAATAAAAGAGGTGGAGGAGTCCTGGTTTACTACTCAGGTTGTAAGTGGTGCTCTACAGTAGGCTTATGCAGATCCCACAACACTACAACTGATCATTTCCAAACTCAGCATCAACTGTCTCAACAGCTGAAATGCAATAAGCTTACTCTGCTGGCCTCAAAACAGAACACTCAGCAGGGCAGAATCCATCCTGCAGCTGAAGACCTCATTGAGATGCAAGACGGTGCATTTGGAGCTGTACCCTGTTAAACTCACAAATCCCTACCGATGGAATTTAAGCTGCTAAAATTGTGACACGCTCAGTGCTTTTAATGCTAGAACAATTTGGTATAGCCTAAATGCAAAGTTGTACAGTTCCACAAAGTTTGCGTGTCTGGGTGTGTGCATGCATGTGTGTGTGTGTGTGTGAGAAGGAAAACTGTGTCCTTGCAGTTTCTGCAGAATAAATGAATTTTAGTTGATGTTGTTGACCTCTGAAATAAATCTATGCATGTATTTTTAGCGTAGTGGTTCCAGTGAAAAGCAACCGCCTTCCGATGTATTTTTCTTTCTTAGTTCCATAAAATCACAAAAACCTATTTAGAGACTAATGGATATCAAATGAATGCTACTGCTGATTCACATTAGCTGTGTCAAGTATGTTTGGATGTTCCGTGCAAATTGGTGTGATTTTGCGTGCTTCTATGTTTGTGTCTCCGGGGCTGCTTCGGGGTCATTGGCTGTTTCGGTGGTGCGCATGTGTCGGCTGGTGGTGCGTTCGCTACATTAACTTTATGTCTCCTTTTCTCGCTATAGGTGTAAGTGCCGGAGTCTGTGGAGACCCAGGGATGCCTCCCCACGGTGCCCGTTTGGGAGGAGAAGAATTTAAAACCAAGAGCCTTCTGCGTTTTAGCTGCGAGGCAGGATACAATCTGATTGGCTCGGCCGAGAGGACCTGCCTTCACAACGGCACCTGGAGCGGCACGCAGCCCGTCTGTCAAGGTGGGAAATGTGGCTTTGACCGTTTGCATGACTCATGTTCTTATGAGCAAGTCAGACTAGTGGAAGGTCATAAGAAAGTCAGTAAAAACTACACTTCAAACAGCACACAAACCACGTTTATTTTCCTGTCATCGCACTTGAGCTGATATTACTGAATATAAAAATAGTGATTCCTCCTTAAGTCAGAGTGGATATTTATGGGTTGTTGTGCACTGCATTCTATTTATAGGGACCCTTTATTGACCCTGTTGTACTGTAAAAGGCGGCTGCTTGCTGTATACAAGAAACTTGGATGTGATAACATAGCATATGCTGAACTGTCTGTTTTGAGAGCATCGTGCGTTTTGATAGCAAGTCATCCCTGTCTCATTTGAGGTTACCTCTGGGTCCCAACCCAGATTCTATAAAACATCGCTGTAAAAATAAATATTGCCATAAAACGAGCCAGTTCAGATTTTGTATAAACCCACACAGCATTTGTGGCATATGGACTTAATTATTCAGCATTTTATGTGAAAATAAATCAGCTCAGCCCCCAAAGTTGAACAGCTTAATCTCTTCTTTGGAGAATACAGTAGCATCAGGCTACTTGGCATGCGACTGACAGTAAGCAACTAATCCATTATCAAACATAGCTTAAAAAACATTATACAGATTGTACACCGCATCATATATTGCCCTCCTTTTAGTGGCTAATCTGGATTCACACAAATAAATATATATGTTGTGTAAGATAAGCTTGTGAACTGCTTCACTGGAATAGATGTCATCTAATGAAGTAGAAGTATATGTGCAGTTTGTTGTATTACTTGTTAAAACTGAGCTCCAGTGAGACTACTTAGGCTCATTTTTCACTCACAGGCAAAACTTCACACAACTGCAACACAAAAATAACCCATTTAGAGTGTTGTTTTGCCATAAGTGGTGTTTTATTATTATCACAAAATTCATAATTGTAGCTCAACAGGGGGAACAAAAGTTTACAAAATGCTAGAGGTTTGTGGAATTTGCAGTTTGTGGAGAGATTTCAAGTTTGTGCGCGTATGTGTGTGTGCGCATCTTTATATTTGGGATTGAAGTGTGTCACTCTGAACTGACTGAGCTGGATCATCCACAGCGCTGTGCTAATAAAGTGCATCCTATACAGCAGCACTTTTCAGAGACGCTCTTCAAACCCGTGGGAATTTAGGGGAAATTAAAGTAGGTCCCCGTAGTGCTGTAGAGACACCGGAATCCTAAGCTGCTGCCGGTGTCACGTTCCCTATTCCCACCGAACACATTCAAGCTGAATGAAGCGCTGCTGACGTGGACTCCACCGTGCTCCGATGCAGATTTTTTTAGATTCGGTTAGATGGATGGGCTGTTGTAGCAGGTATTTGAGTGGATAGGTGTGAGGGGACGAGTGACTCATACAATGTCAGTGTACACTTTTCTGTTATTATGTGCCTGTGACACAAAACACCGGCAGCATACTCGATTTAGTACGACAAGCGCAGAGGCCACACTAAATAAGGAAACTCGGTAACAGATCTTGCTCACAAAAATATATGTACTTGGCCACAAAATTACATCTTTAGTTTGACACATTTCATTTCAAAATGTTATATATCTTGCTCAATCATCAGAAGTAACTTTATTTATATAGCACTTTCAAGAACAAGGGCCTCGACAACAAAACAGGATACAATAAGCCAGGCAGCAAGGACAAAAACAAAACAACACATGGCAAAATCAAGATGAAAGTAAGATAAATTTAAAACAAGAACACAACGGATGCAGAAATACAAAACACAATATGTCCACTTTAATGAACACAAATAGTAAAAAGCGTAAAAGAGAAGCTTTATAAACAATTAAAAGGCAACATCACAATGCAAGTCTTCTGCGATTCTGCGAGCCTTATCTCTTCAGGCGGGCCGTTCCGAAGCTAAAGGGTCCTGATGGCAGAACCACGGTCACCCTTGGATTTAAACCTCAACTTTGGAACAGCCAGAAGGGCCCCTCTTGAGGATCTGAGGCTGCGAACTTGCTCACATGTAGTCACAGCGTCTCTGCTGCGTAGCTCGGGGCCAGACCCACCTACGTTCTTTAAAAGTGATCAGTAAAAACCGAAAATCGATTCTAAAGCAAACGGGGAGCCAATGGAAAGAAGCCGGGTTGAGGGTGATGTAACGTCGTCTGCTAAAGCTCTGCTGAGAAGCCGAGCTGCTGGATTCTGAACTACTTGGAGGCGAGAGAGCGACTTCTGGTTGAAGTTCGAAAATGTAGCGCCGATCCTAAGAACATTACCACTTAGAAAGTTAATGGAAACCTTAATGTAATTTTTCTTCATGTCAGCAATCAACATCTACAGACTTTATCTCATTGTGGGGAGAAAAAAAATAAAAAAACTCAGTGGAAAGTAGAGCTGCAAGGCACAGAATTGTAAACTGTAATAATATCAATCATCTGTGGATAATGTGTTTGGGACTGAATTACAGACGAGTCTCAATTTTACTTCTATTTAGAGGCTTGGGTTTGTCTACATGTAATGAAAAACCCACGTCAACCTCTAGCCCAGACACACATACACACACCCCTCAGAGATGTGTGTGTGTGTCTGTTTGTGTGTGCCAGTGTCTGTGTTTGTGTAATGCTAATTATTTATGTCTGTCTACAGTTGTTTTTCATTAGGCTAATAGTGGTTAAAAGCTGATTCAGAAAGGGTGAGACATCTATCACTGAGACACAAAGAAATCCATCCAGACAAATTCAGACTGTTCCTCACGACACACTCCACATACACTCATGGACAAACAACGGGCTGCCTTAGGCGCACACGGACAGCTTTCCATGACGCGCTCCACCTACACACTGTCACACACACACACATATACGTGGACAAAGCTTTAAATGGTTCTAAGTAATGAATGCCATCAATAGGTGTTTGATTGGTAAAGGCTGTCAGCTGTCATGATCCTATATGTGCTCATTGAAATGTGCTGTGGTTGATGGCTGTAGGTTCTGTTAATGTGCTGTGGTTGATGGCTATAGGTTCTGTTAATGTGCTGTGCCAGCAAATCAAAGATCAATGGATCGCCAGTTTGCACGAGAGTTGCAGTCTTTTCCTATCTGCATTCATGTGTCCTCCCCTGACAGTTTTGTCTTATAATCTACCAGATCAGTGGAGGCTCACACAGAAAGCTCCTCACTTATCCAAAAGAACTATTCTGAAGACATATTAGAGGGTGACTTGTTTCACAAAAACAAAAGGGAAACCCTGAGATTCACCACGAGAACAAGGGCTTTAGTATGTAGGCTTTAGTAGAAAGACTGCTGAAGCTGCTGTGAAAACCCCCCAAAACCCACTGGCAGGTTGATAAGGCCCACTGTCTTCTACAAAATCGCCAAAAATTGCATCATTTATCAAAGCCAGAAACTGTAAAAACAAAAAAAAAATCATCAGATATTTACCTATTTACCTTGATAGTCCTTGAATTAGTAATGTGTGATTTGCTGTTCAGTGGAGAAAAAGAACCAAATCTAAGCTTCAAATCAGGATATTTAATCAAAATTGTGTTGTTCAACATGTCCAATTGAAAGATTTGCCAAAAATGCAATGCTGTAGGTATCAGATTGTGGGGGGAAAAAAACAAAAATTCTGTGCTTCATGGCACAACCTTGAAGCCATTAGTGACTCAGCTACGACCAAGAGTCATATAACAAAAACGCAGGAACATTTCAGCTGAACTACAGGCTGTTTAAACAGAGCAAATCATACAATATCTACAGACTGTTTAGTCACCATTTTGTTTTCTAGTTTTTCAGTTTTGGGAGCAGCTGTGGGCACACAGAGAAATTCAACTTCATTTTTAATTTTTTAAATATAATTTATGGTATTTCAGCATGACACACTGCAAATATTTTACTATATCTTTTCATGGGGCAACACTGAAGAAATGACACTTTGCTGCCATGTAAAGTAGTACAGCTTGTATAACAGAGTAAATTTACTGTCACCTCAAAGTAACTCAATACACAGCTATGAATGTCTAAACCGCTGGCAACAAAAGTGAGGAGCACAAGGTCTCTAACGTCCACCACCACGTGATGTCGCCGTGGAAGAGGATGGTGGCAACCTGTGACGTTCTGGTGACTTCACTGTCCAAGAGGGTTTAAGGCAGTGCTGGAAAACAATGGTGGCCACACAAAATATTCACACCTTGGGCCCAATTTGGACATTTTCACTTAGGGGTGTACTCACTTTTGTTGCAGGCGGTGTGACATACTGTATAACCATAATGCACAGAAGACATGTTTGAGTTCTCTCTACCTCTAGCCGTGTTTGTGCTGTTTTCATAGAGGTGCAGGACTTTACCATAAAAATGAGGCCACAGTGAGGTAAAAATGTGAAGGGAGCAAAAAAAACAAAACGCCCCAGAAACTGCTTGGACTACAGGCGCTTAATGCATATTGCAGTCAAGCATCCAACCAATCTTTGATTTTAAATATGTATTCTTTGTGCTCTTATTGCTGAAACTTTGTTCCCCCCCAAGATAACTCAGGAAGGACATTGTCCACAAGTACTGACTGATAATTTGCTTTGCAGCCCACCTGCATGTCCAATGCTGTTCCTTGCTATTATTTATTGTTTTCACGATTGCTGGACCGTGCAAACCTTCCATCAGGCAGCCTGTCTTATTTTCTAACAATAGGCAGAACAAGGCAACAACTGACCCTTTAAAGCTGCACTTTGTACTTTTCTCAGTTATAGTTTGTGCTGTAGATGTATCATTAGCCTCAAGCACACAACTATAATACTGTACATCTGCCATTCAATGTTGGGAATCAGTCAACAACCTTTCGTCATTAGTCAGCCTCACTACCCCCAAGGACATATTTTATGTTATTTCCAGCTGACTCCAGTGATAATCTCATTATTGCAGCCCACAGCTGATCAGCTCTGGGTGACAGGAAGGCTGTATTGCTCACACTGATACTATCGCCATGGTTAATCAGCACTGATTGGTGTTTTGTTTTTTTTATATCTCAGCTGTATCCTGTGGTAACCCTGGCACACCAGCACACGGCAGAATTGTATTCAGCGATGGCATCACCTTCGGCAGCTCAGTGGCTTACGCATGCTGGGAAGGCTTCAAAACATCAGGCCTGACCACCAGGCACTGCACAACAAATGGGACGTGGACGGGACAACCTCCAGACTGTACTGGTAGGATGGGTTTACCATTATTACTGCCTTTATTATTAGCTCACATCGTATAGCCATTTTTCTGACAAATTAGCAAAAGATAACCTGTCTTCATACAAACAGTAGAAATACCGCTGAAAATACTCTCAGCGATGCTACCTGCACAGGAGTGTTTTAAGGATTCAAGAGTAATATAAATGTTGCATGGACTGGGCAACCAACTGCAGTGCAGGTTCAGCACTGCACTGGGTTAAGTTTGTTGTGTCTGAGATTTCAACTTGTATACTTTAAGAGAAGCAGACAGACGTTTGGGGGAAAGGAGAAAAAGGAGGTGGGAGGTAGATGAAATGAAGCGGGGATGTGCTTCAGGGAAGTTAAGGAAAGGCAGTCTGTGAGAAAGTTGAGTAGGAGGCAAAGAAAAGTAAAAACATTGTGTGTTTTTTTTCAGGCTGTGTTAGAAAGCACACTAAGGCGTACTGTAGTTATAGTAAAAAAGATTAGATAGGATTGATGTGTGAGAAAAATGTTACAGTCCTCATGCACGACTAGACTCCTCCAGGCTTGCTGGGACGTAACCATCTGACAGACGTATGCTGCGCTATATTCATGACTTGTCCCATAAAATTTTTATTACCTCCTTTAGTGATCAGTTGTGGAGACCCTGGGCCAGTAGCCAATGGGATCTATCTGGGCAGAGAGTTTAACTTCAACCACACAGTGACTTACCGCTGCAACCCCGGTCACCTGATGGAACCACCCGGACCCGGACGCAGCGTCCTGCGCTGCACCAAAGATGGGACCTGGAACCAAACCAAACCCAGCTGTAAAGGTACGAGGAGCTCATACTCTAAATGACTGTCTCCATAGTATCATTGGACATGAAAAGGAGTTAAAAGTAGACTCTACAAATATGGATCCACAGGAGGGAGAATTACTGGGTCTTGCAAATGAATGTGGTCATTTTTAGTTGATCCCAGCCTCCAACAGTTCTTCTGGGTCTCATACTGGACTTTGCATAATGTGTGAGAGTTTAAAAAGCCCAGCCTAACACTAACATCTAACAGACATATGTTGGTTGAGCATCCTTTAAATTTGTTTTCAAGAGTTTTGAACAACATATTTTTCATTTTACATTTTCCAAATAAATCATAAAGACTGTATTTTAAAAGGATCAGACAAGGAACAACAAGCCGTGCAGCCAAAAAACTAAATCAGATTTAGAAAAAGTGTAAATTATACATTCTAAGATGTATTTAGAGGAGGGTGTGGGCAAGCCTGTAGTATGAATTAATTCAAATTTTATGAGTTGATATTGACAACAAGTGAAAAATGTTTCCTGATGGACAGATTCATCCTTAATTTATGTGTTTGTATTCGTCTACGAGATACAAGGAAAGCATTTTCAAACTGATTTCAGTGGAATGAATCAAAATAGCAAGTATATGTACATTTTTTTTTGTTATTTTCCTCACTGTCATAATAACCGTGTAGAACACTGAGTAGAAGTGGAAAATGTGTCAAGTCTGTCGCAGAACAACGTCGCAAACAATGAAAAAGGCTGAGGGTAGTTATTAGTATACAGCTGTGCGATTGCAGCAGAAAGGCCCCACATAAGTAAGTGACTATTTAAGTTAGAAAAAATAGTATTTCGATGCGAGCTGGCAGACTAAAATATCAGATAGTGACTTCAACAGTACATTAGAAAGGGAAGATTAACATTGCTCCCTGCAATAACAGGGTGTTAAATCAGGCTTTATTTCCTGAAATCCTTCAGGTTTTTTTTTTTTTCTCACAAACACAAAGGAGGAAATAAAAAAGAATGCATTAAACTAAAATGAGTCGGAGTTTTACAGCAGCCCATATTTAGAGTTTAGACTATGATGCTGAACAACAGTAAAAGGGAATGTTTCCTGAGATCCTCCCTGCCGTTTCTTCCCACAAACAGAAAATCTCCTGCTGGCTCCTGCAGTTGCAGAGGCTTTGAACTGAGATGAAAAAACTGAGAAAGCAGGCAGAGAGGCTACTGAGAAGGAACCGGAGCGAGATGCAGAGAGGGGAAGCAGAGAAGTAAAAGATACTGGAGGTGATAGAGAATGAGACTGGGGCAGGACACTGAAAAGTGAAAATTATAGGTGCAAAGGAGGAATGTGAAAGAGTGAGTGATAGATGTACAAAGAGGCCGCAAGTTCTCCATTTCCCTCTGTTTCTCATGCAGTTGTCTCTTATCTTTTCCTTTGCTCCTCTCTGCCCTTTCAGGTTCTACATCAGCCGTGCACATGGTTTTGTTAGCTCTTGTGTTTTCATTCCCTCCGTCTTCATTTGATCCTGTTTTGGGACAATAGCTTTGTCGCACACACGCACGGAAACATATTAAATGTAGCAGTTGTGTCCTATAAAGCCGGAGCTCGACATGCAAAATGAATCAGGCGAGACTTAGAAGGAGAGAATGATGAGAAGTGGTGGGAAGATGGAACACAAGGATGGAGCTAAAGGAGAAGAAACGATTTAAACAGAGAAAGATACAAAAGCACACAATGACACCCAATTATGCTGAGATTAAGAAAGAAGGAAAACACAAGCGGGGAAAACAGAGAGTAAAGCAAGTGAATGAAAAAGGAAAAAAGGGAGAATGTGATGAGCCATCAGTGGGGCTACAGGGGGAGGAGGGGAAAAAAAAGCAAAAGAGAAGCAAGTGAGAGAGGAAGCGAGTGATGGGAGAAACAAAGAGAGGCAAATCAATACCTGCCCCCAAACCTGTAAACACACAGTGAGAAAAGGGATTAAGCCCATAAAATGTGTTGGCTGGGTGAATTGCGCCAAGAGAGATATGCCTAAAAGACAAAGGGAGGAAAGCAAGAGGCAGTAATGGTGTGAGAGGGAGATCGAGAGAGCGGGCGAAGAGGATGAAAGTGGACTGGAGCTGGGGCAGAAGGACGAGGAGGAGAGGCGCAGGGAGAGCACGAAGAAGGGACAGAGAGGGAGAAAAAAAAAAAGTATGCAGACAGGAAGTACGCAGGGGACTGGAGCATGAGAAAAAACAGAGTGCGGAGTCGTGAGAGGAGAGAAAAGAAGCGAAAGGAGTTAGTGACGGCAAAGATGGAGGGAAGACCAAAGGTGTGTAAGCAAAGCAGGGATGAGTGACTCGGCTTCCTCTGGGTGGTGAAGCCACACCACAACAAGGGAAAGACACAAAGAGGAAATAAAAGAGTTCAGAAACCTTCAATTACAGGCACAAGTGTTCTTTGGGCATCAGAGACCAGCAGAAATATTGGTCTGGAATATTAACTGTTGAAGTCAATAACAGGGTGTTCTTCTATTTTTAGACGGCTGGAGTTTGTTCCCTAACAACAAAGATGTTTTTTTTTTCTTTTTAGGGAGAGGAAAACAGTCATTTACTGATTAATTTGAATCCCCATTAGCTGCTGGCTAGCCACCAGCTATTGTTCGTGGAGTCACGTAGCAATGAGATGCTGAACCGCACACTGGCTCTGGCATGTGTGCAGGTGTGTAGATTCTTTTAATGTGACGCACGACAACACATTGTAGAAGAGAGAGAAATAATATGGAAAGGCGCAACAGGGTTTGTTTTTTTTTTTTACAAGTTAGGGAGGACGACTTTGGGGAGATTCAAGGCTTCTGCGGGACACCGGTGACATACAAAGTCAGAATTAGTCAACTGATTAGCTTTCCGCGAGTCGCTGTTGTTGCCTAGAAACCACAACGTCACAAACGAAAGATATTTCTTCTGGAGTTCAAAACAATTTTCGTGTTAATTGCACTTTGATTCTGCGCCCAAAAGAATGACCTTAATGCAACGACGACACAGAAAACAAACTGAAAAATAGAAAAAGCAAATAAGTTTTAATAAAAACAACAACAAAGAATGACATTTATAGTCATACAGATGAATTTATCGGTAGGTTTTTTCTTATCATTTCATGTGCATATATGCTTTATGTGCAATATGCGCTCATTGGTATGTTTTCTGCAAATCCAGGACGTGTTTGTGTTGTTTTTGTGTTCATGTTTGCTTGTGTGTCTGCGCCTGTCTGCCGCTCTCTCTGTATGCTTGTGCGCGCTGTATATCATCATAGCAGAGTGAATGGAGCATGAAACCATCTGTCTCCTGGTTAGATGAGAATTACACTGACTTTATTAGATGTTTGAAACCATGCAGATGGTTATCATTATCTTAGGGAGCTAGGCACATGCACACACACACACGCACGCACACACACACACACACAGATGTTTATCAGGGTGTTGTGAAGTTGCATGCACAAACATCCGTGGACGCAAAATACACTTGCATGTAAGAACACACGCAGCGAGTTTCTTAAAATCTTGTAGGACGCTTTAACCTTATCATGCATAAACAGTGTGCTGTCTGATGATGGCAGATTAAATTCTCCATATGTGACAGATGCTTTTTGAATGAATACTAATCTGGTTGATGCGTTGGACAATTTCATATCAACATTGGTTATGTACAAGGAGAGCTACAAAATCAATCCGTTTCAGCCTAACTGTGGGTTTGTGTATTTATTAATATCACCTAAATAATTATTCCACGTAGCGAGTTTCAAGTACATTGTGTAAAGAAAAAACAAGGAAGCACCTAAAAATTACCGCCGTGTCTTGAAATATAGCGAGATTTTCATCAAAGCTGCACAATTTATTTTCACTAATAACAAACAAAATCATTGCATTGTTTTCACCCGTCTTCTTAGCTGTGGGGATAATGACATCAGCAAAAGTCAGGAGTCAACAAATCTGGAGTTTAGTCAGGCACGACTCACATGTCAGTGTTGTGAAAATGCTTGGAGGTAGGCATGCCTGATGTTCGGTTGAACTTTTCTGAGCTTTCCACCGCAAGCGACCCAAGCAAAGCAAAGCGTTGGACCCAAAATTCAGTTTGACCACATGTGACATCAAACCGTCGACAATGAATGAGCAACAGGCAGCCGAAGCCCGAAGCTTGAGTCGTGATTCGATTAAACCAAATTGGCGGTGTGGGCTAGGGCAACTTTGACTTGTAAGAAACGCTCAGACATTTTGAGGTTGCTTTACAAAAGAAGCATCTGCTGATGTGAACCGTGCCTCACTAACAAGAGCCCCCAGAAGACTTTTGATCGGTTGAAACTTGCAGTAAAATTGTTGATTTGTAGAAAAAGCAGGAAAAGGTTAAAAAGTGTTCTCAAAGTGTTTACACATCAGTCCACAGTTAGAAAAAATGTCCTCAGATAGAGAGGCTTTACTGGTGCAGCTACTCACTAAAATAACTCCAAAGGTACATTACAGGTTAATGTCAGGGTGGTTGCTTGTAGGAGCTCAATAGAAGTTGGGTGATGCAAGACTACAGCGAAATAAACATTGAAGTGAATCGACTACAAAATAACTTTTTTTTTGGTGTGGTCCTGTTATGTGGCGCCAAACCAAATAACCCTCAAGACAAAAGACATCCTATATGACTGGGATCAGTTGGTCCCATGTTGAAGAATGGTTCAAAAAGCCTAACAACAGTTGTACAGGTTTGATCTGCAGCTGTCTCAAGCTCTAAGTGGAGATTATTGCCACCAAAGGAGGATCAACCAGTTATAAAACCCAAGGCTTTAAATACCTTCTAATGTATGTGTTCAATAAAGATGCTTAATAATCTGTTACTAGCTGAAGCATACTGTGTTTGTCTATACTTACCTGTTAAAGATCACACATTTTATAACTCATTAATGCAGAAAACAATGCAATTCTAAAATCTTCACACACATTTCTCTGCGCCGCTACGAATACAAATTTCCTCCTAAAAATCCCATCTTAGAGCAGGATTTTGAAAAGATGTGGGTGTTGATGGAAAAGCTGTGTTGTGGATAATACTGCCAACATTTGGTTTGCAAAAACAAAATCACAATTATCTCTCAATCAGCAGAGTGGAAGCAGAAATGCCTTGACGGGCGATACGAACCCCCAGCCGTCATTCAGAAACTCTCAGTCCATATGCTGACCAGGATTTGTCCTTTGGCTCAGTAACTTAAATATAGTGGCCTAGGTCATGTGTTGCTTTAGGGCAGTAAACATCCATATGGTAATGATGATCACAGCCATCTGCAGTTTTTGCTGTGATTTTTTGTGCTCACTTCATGTAACACCTCCCATCTGTAGCCACATTGACCCTTTTGCTCTCGGCTTCTGGTCGCTGTTGCCAGGTAGGTTGACCTCAAGTCACAGTCCTAAAGGTTTCACAACGCCTCCTCTTGAGCTCCCAACGGTGGAAACACACATGTTCACGATGAACAGGCCAAATGTCGTGACACCACAGCATCCTTCACAAACTTGACATATGCTCGGCATTAACTACCCTACAACCAGCTCAACTAGTGCACTGTGAGTTTAAATGTTTAGCATTAACTCAGTGTTTATATGGTGAACACATTTAGGAGGACCAAGGCTTAAATTACAAGTATGATGATGCAGGTTTTTGTTAATGAAAAAGAAATTAACAACACTTTTAATAGCTTTATTAGCAGGTTCTGCCAACAATCACAAACCTTTTGCTCTGTTGGTCTTTGAGCTGATGTGTAAATATAAAATTATAATGCACATTATTCACCCAACTATGTGTATTTTAGGATATGTCTGGGATAATTAGCATGTTAGATTAGATTATATTATATTAGATTAGATTAGATTAGATTAGATTAGATTAGATTAGATTAGGTTGCACTTTATTTTTCACCACCAGTGGGGAAACTCACATTGTTGCAGCAGCATAGAAACATGAAAGAGCACAAAAACAGTGACAGGAAGAAAAGAGGACAAATAAACTATGAATAGAAAGAGCTGAGAAATGTAATACAATAGAGCCACACACACACACACACACACACACACACTACATACACTATAGGTCCATGTAATGGATGCTATGAATTAAAAATATAGAAGATAAATAAAACAAATTTGAGGAAAAACTAGATGATGTATGATAGTGTATCTAAGCGAGTGAGTCTCCACTGTGCACTGTGTCTTAGTATAAAGACATGTATTGAATGACCATGGACTTTTCACCATTCTTGTTACAACCAACACGAACAGTTCTAATTATCAAGGCTAATAATAACCACGTCAGCTGATCGGCTGTTGTTTGGGGGAACTGATCTAATTAAAGCTGCCATGTGAATAGAGGTATTGTACACACACGGCAGATGTCAATGTACACAATGCAATCTATTCCCACTTCTGGTGAGCACGGTGACACTGCCGCGCTGCTTCCACCCTGCAGAATGCTGTGAATGTGAATCCCTCATAGGAAGCACTTTTTGACTATTAATCATAGATCACGGAGGCAGCACAGGGGGTCGCTCTGTGTTTTGCCTGCTGGATGCAGGGGTAGACACCAGCGCTGACATGACCCTGAATACAAGAGTAACTTGCTTTGGCAAATGTGGCAATTTAATTTATTTAGAGAAGTCTTTGTCTAATTCATGCTTTTCTTTTGAGAGGCAGTGCTTCCATTTCTGGTTCATATCTTCCACATCTTAGCGCTACATATCCACCGGGGACACGTCTCACCTGCTACTTTGTCTTTCTGACGTTGACAGGTCTAAGTGCTCGTCGTGTTATTTTGTGCCGATTTATTTGTTTCTGCTGAAGATGAAAATGCGGCTGTTAATAAAGATTAAACGATGCATTAAAACCTGATTGTAACAGCGTTCGCCATGAATTTTACTTGTTAAAGAATGGTTTGTTTTGCAAAAGATTGTGTCCAAGCAGTGCTCATTAATGCACTTGCTGCAGCCCACATTACTGTATGTACAGTATCTATACATGGCAAAGACGACTCGTAATCCCCACACATGTGTTAACTGTAGATGATAGTTTATATTCCATATGTGTGTGTTTCAGTGATCCAGTGTGGACCTCCACCTCAAGTCCATTATGGGAAAGTGGAAGGGACCGACCATTCATGGGGGTCGAGTGTCACCTACAGTTGTTTCCACGGTTACCAGCTGTCCACGCCTGCTGTGTTAAGCTGTGAGGGGAACGGGACCTGGACAGGAGACATACCACAGTGTCTGCGTAAGTTAACACCTCACTGCATACTCTGTAGCCTGCAGCACAGTTAAGTTTAACTGATGCACCACGTTGGGGGCCGGCGCTCAAAGGGCGATTTATATCAGTCGCGTAGCCGGCGCCTCCATCTTCTTGCCAAAGTGCCCTTTGCAAGACGCTGAACCCCAAGTTGCTCTGGATGTCAGGCTTTCTACGGCAGCTCCTCTGCAATTGGTGCGCGAGTGTGTGGGTGAATGAGTAACACATTGTGAAGCACTTTGTAGCATCTAGCTAAGGTTAAAAGGTGCTATATATATTTATATATAAGTGCAGACCATTTACCATTTAATCTTCCAGTCGTTTTAACACGTCAAACCAGCAGCGGCATTAAATGTGATTGTTATGTCTTTCAAGCTGTCCTGTGTGGTGATCCTGGATCTCCTGGAGGAGGATTCAGAGAGGGAAACATCTTTTCATACCGGTCAGTGGTCAGATACATTAATGACAGATAAATGCTGCCTATATACTGTGTGTATGTATCAGCCATGGCAGGTTTTTATATAGATATATAAAAGTATACCTTTTCAAAAGAAAGTGCTGTCTTAAAATAGTGTCATATTTCCAGTCAGTATTAACGGTATTGCCGTGAGTGTGACTCACTATTTGCCAACACTCGTCACAACCTGCAGTAAGCGAAAAACCAGCGCTTAGATATACTGTTGTAGTACGTCTTTACTGTAAACTACTGTACCATTGTTTGTTCCAGAGGACCAAACGTTGTGTCGATACAGTTTATCTAAAAATAGATTGCATGTGTTCTGGCCCTATGTCTCGATGTCAGTTTGAAACATGGCAGGCACAAAATAGATTCTGGTTTTGTGAGCAGAAACAAGAGAAAGGGCAGACGAAAGGTGAAGTGCTGACATAAAGAGCTTTAGGAAGCTTCCAGAGCCCTAAACCGAAGGAAGCCGCAGGATAAATAGATTAAGAAAAAAGAAAAAAATACACCTACTAATGGAGTGAAAACGCAGAACTGATGTTTTATTATTACTCATGACTTGAATTGTCCTTTTCTTTGTGTGTATAGTTAAGTATTTGTTTTCCCTCATAGGTCGGAGGTCAGGTTCTACTGCCACGCCCCCTACCTGCTGGTAGGTTCTGCCTCCAGAGCCTGTCAAGCTGATGGGATTTGGAGCGGCCAACAACCAGCCTGTATAGGTAACTAAAAGAAAAATAATTGTTGCCTTCAGAAACACTGTGAGTGTCTGTGTCAGTTTTCAAAGTGTACAAAAAACATATACAGAGGAGCAAATAGAGGTAAGGCTGCAAGGTGCTTCAGTGGTTAGCAACGTTGCATCACAGCTAGAAGGTCGCCAGTTCCCGTCCCAGTGAGGACACCCGGGATCTTTCTACGTGGAGTTTCCATGTTCTCCCCGTGCAGTGTGGGTTCTCTCCAGGTCTGGCTTCCTCCCACAAGGTCCAAAAACATGTTGAGGTTAATTGGTGATTCTAAATTGTCTGTAGGTGTGAATGTGAGTGTGCTTGGTTGTCTGTCTCTAAGTGTAGCCCTGTGATAGACTGGTGACCTGTCCAGGTGTCCCCTGCCTTCGCCCTCAGTCAGCTGGGATAGACTCCAGCCCCCCATGACCCTAGTGAGGATTAAGCGGTATATAGATAATGGACGGATGGACAAATAGAGGTGCTGACTTTGGCTTCAGACTCTAGATGCATCTACTTGAAACAAGATTTTTATAATATGGTGGATACAACAAAGTACTCATCACAGATCTGGTCCACTGCCACCATTTTCGTGGACTTACTACCGACAATGTCACACGTCTTGGAGTAGGTTCCCACCAGTAATCTTTAGTAACGTCTACTGTGAAGCCACAAGTCTGTGTGATACCTTAAAATGATTCAAATGCCCACTGTATGTTAAAAAAGTTGGGTTTGTATGTTAATTCCACCTGGAGCTGTGAGAACAATGCTGGATCTTTTTATTCATTGGGTTTCTCAGATCAGATTAGTCCGTACAAACCTTATAGCTGTATAACAAATACAAAAGACAGTTGAGCATTAAACAAGACGAGTGGATCTCTGTGGTGTTACGGTGCAAAACTACTCCTGCCTTGGCTTGAAAAATACTCTGACTAATGTTAAGAGGATTGTCTACAAATTAAGTTTCTGTTTTATTATGAAGTCTGCTTGTTTTTTTAATGGAATTTGAAATAATTGCTTACTGCTCCGAACAAACTTTTACACCCCTCAATGGAAAACCTGCATAAATGTGATAAATCATTACTAGCATTTAAAAAAAATGTTTATATAAACCTGTCAGACATACTTATCATGGTGATTCCTTAATTTTGGAGGACCAGACATTTTGTATATTGCTAAATAAAACTGTTCATCAACAAGTTATGTAAAAAAAAAAAAAAAAAAAAAAAAACAGTGTGAAATCAGATTATTGGTAAACAAGATTGTGGAGCTTACACACTTTAGCATTAATATCCCTGCACAGCCGGAGCTGAAGATATTATCAAATCAATGGATGAAGTGTGTAGTTTTGATGTCAGCATTTGGTTTCTAGAAAGATTTTATCTTGTGAAGCAGCCTATCATGAATTTTAGGCTTTCGTGGTAACTGTTCTGACACCATGGAGCTTATTTTGGAACAAGTTGTGAAATCACAAGCAGGAAGCTGAATTAGAGTGTTATAGCTGAAGTGTAAAGAAGCCTTGTAGCAGCACCACAGAGCTTCTGTCATGTTCCTCTGCTAAAAATAACCGGTTTCTGTCATACAGTACATAACTATACAATATCTCCATGGTGGTACCTACAGTTTATCCCGACCAGGACTTCAGTGCTTTGTATAGTTTTTATTTACATGATGTCAGGTCTCTTTATTAGTTAGACATTATCATCAGCACTGACAACATCAGGGAAGATGGTAAATTAGTCAAGCCACGTTCTATTTCTTACAACTTAATACCTTTACTGGGCTGCAAGTTGCTCGGTGGTTAGGACCATTGCCTCGCAGCTACAAGGTCGCCGGTTTGCGTCCCGGTGAGGACACCCGGGATCTTTCTGTGTGGAGTCTCCATGTTCTCTCCGTGCAGCGTGGGTTCTCTCCGGGTTCTCCAGCTTCCTCCCACACAGTCCAAAAACATGTTGAGGTTAATTGGTGATTCTAAATTGTCTGTAGGTGTGAATGTGAGTGTGCTTGGTTGTCTGTCTCTAAGTGTAGCCCTGTGATAGACTGGTGACCTGGCGAGGATTAAGCGGTGTATAAATAATGGATGGATGGATGGATGGATGGATGGATGGATGGATGGATGGAATACCTTTACTCTACTACCTTTCAGAGGGACATAGTTTAATTTCTTGCTATTTTTTTATTGCGTTTATCTGTTTTACCACCCACTGGTCACCTACTCACAAAAGTTGAACTCACAAAACCTGCTGTTTAAGACAGAGATGTCCAGATCTGAATCCAAGCCTCATCCTTTGTTTACTTCTGCTGTAACAGAGGCGTCGTAATGTTTCAATTTGTTGCAGGAATGCAAAAAAAAAAAGTTTTATTTGAAAAACACAAGCAGTCCAACGACCACTTGTCAGTTTACAATGTGAGCACTTTACAAGGTGGTAGTAGCGGAGCTGCATGTAATGCTAGCAGTTTGATACAGCACCAGAAAAGTAAACACTTACCAGAACACAGTGAGTTCATTCTGGTAACTCATAAAAAGGCTGCTCTGATCAGCACACACTGGAGGACACTTCTAAACAAAGAGAGATGTTTCCTCAAAACAGCAACAAAGCCTAAAAGACTGCAGAGAGGGTAGCTGAATTTATCGGACTGGATCAGCAGCTCATCACTGTTCTGGTTTGAAGCCAAAAGTGTTATAATTCGCCTCTGTTTGCATGTGATTGAAATCAAAATGCCACTTTTTTTATGCAGTACAGAACAGCCTTTTATTGGCTTTACCACTCTGATGTGAAATTAAAACGTCTCTTGTTTGCTTTTTGTATTTTAGCTTTATTACAACGCTGCACGAAGTAAAATTGTTATTTTAACTTTTTGTGACTGTTAACGTTAAGGTTGATCTATTACACTGCTCCCAAGTGGAATTCTGATCGTATTTCTCATTGTGAATGTTGTAGTTTTACTGCAGCACTAAATGGAATTAAGCTATTTATGAGGGAATATTTGAGTTTATTTAGTTTAAAAATACATGCTGCAGTGAGTTCAGTTGTAATAACATCATTTACTTTGTCATTTTGTGAAATAAAATTAGGGGAACAGCTTGGATCCAGGCTTTTTTTTTTCTTTTCTTAGTGCATTGCAGAGCTGTTTAGCATATACATTGGATTAATTTTAATTACATCAATGTACTTTAAGAGTGCATTGTGCAACTGTATTTTATAGGAAAATGGTTTAGGACTCAGGTATGGACAGATATTCAGCATTAAATAACTGAGAAAGAAACAACCTGATCAGGACATCCCTGGGTTAGGACCAATGGGTGATGCATTATGTTACTGCTGATGCTCTGAATATGTTTTCCATCCGAATACTGGTTGCTGCACTATGCGGGTTTTCTTTTTCTTTTTTTTAGGAATAGGTCAAAAAACAAATGTAAGATGCACTGTAGCTGAAATCTATACTATAAATCAGAGTGCTGTAAATATCAGAATTGGAAAGTGACGATCAAAATGTCAAAGCATATATCACTCAGTGTGTGTGTCTGTGTGTGCATAGACCCAGCCTTTAACAGCTGTCGTGATCCAGGAACTCCAGCCTACGGTATTCCAGTCATGGCCCAAGGCTTTCAGGTGAGAAACATTGGCTGAATATAAAATCTCTGTACGTTGCATCCAATTGCTTGAAAACACACAAGTCAAAGTAGTCAGAAAACACAGCTATAAAGAAAACACTCATTCAGAGTTGACAGGAAAGAGGTATTAACTGATTACCTTACTCAAAATTATACCCTAAGTACGCATTTGAAATAAAAGATTTTGGCAGCTCCGGCTCGCCTGCTCCTTTTAATAAGATGATTCGATTAAAATTCAGCTCAAGCAACTCTGTAAGCAAGTGCTCTTCATCAAATTTAAACCTTTGATTCTGAACTTGATAAGAAGCCATTAAAAGGATTGCAACAAGTAGTGTAGGGGATATTTTTGCAGAAAAATGCCCTCCCCAAAAAATGCCAGCAGTATTCTGCATGATAGGAGAATGCACCAAGATGATTGTAAAAATACATTTAAAAAGTGTAGCAATAATACAAGAACACTTTGTGAATGCATAAACCTCCGTCTGATAAGAATCAAGAGTCAAATGCTGGTTAAAAAATTAAGACCTTGACAAAAGTGACTCCTCCATTTCTAACGGTAGACTCGGCTCAGGCACCGGGCTGTCTGCAGGAGAGATAAGAATGTGTTGATGGAATATATTGGCTGTCCAATCCTTAATGGAATGTAAGCAAACATGCAAATCCTTCAATTTATGAAGGCATAATTGGATATCATCCACGTATCCCCTGACATCTCTACAAAGGGAAAAGGGATTACACCACGAGAAAAAAAAAAGAAAAGAAAAACAGGCAGAGCGCAGTACGAGATGCAGGGGTGACAGTCTCAGTTCAAATGTTTAATAAACGTAATGATTACATCCACGAAGGAAGACTAAATTTCTGAAATTAGTATGTTTTTGCAGTAAGTGAGGAGGTTAATTTTAAGTTATTTTGTTTCGACATCAGCATTTTCCTTTAAGCTAAATGCCATTTTGCTGATGTCAGGGGCTCAGATTTTCTTTTGTGGTTTTCTGATCTGCAGGTCGGCAGTAAGATTTCCTTCAAGTGCCGCAAAAACTACCACATCCTCGGCTCGACCACGAGAACGTGCCTCGAAAATCTAACCTGGAGCGGAACTCAGCCTGAGTGCATAGGTAAGGAAGAGCTTTTCATAGAGAGGAGGTTTTAGCTTTTTTTTAATCTAAAGCATGAATGTCATAAAACAACTCTGCGTTTGTTCTTCTCCTCCCCATCACTCAGCTCATTCATGCAGACAGCCGGAGACCCCCAGTAATGTAGACGTGCGATCTATGGACCTGCCCACCTTGGGATACACTCTGATTTACACCTGTCAAGACGGCTTCTATCTGGCTGGAGGATCAGAGCACAGAACCTGCAAAAGTGACGGGAGATGGTCGGGAAAGCCGCCGCTCTGCAAAGGTATTTAGATCCTATCTTGTAAATGCACAGCTTGTGTAAAACGGGCCTGAATTCTAAACTGGATGTCATAATCGCATGTGGCTTAAGATAAATGCAGATTGTCACTCTGATATTATTTCTGTGCTCTTGTAACTCAGCCTCAGGTGTATGAATGTTGGAGTGGTGTTTTTTTTTTTTTTATCACATAATCACGGCCCTGTTTAGTCGCAAAGATGAGGAGCTCATGGCTCTGAAGGCTGTGATGTATGACAGCAAAACAAAGAAGTCCATAACCAGGAAGGAAATAGGCTTCCAGGCAGTTTTCTGTCTCGTGTTTTGGGTCCCTTTCTGACTGTGGAAGTAGCAAATGTCAACGTAAAGGCGAATCGGAGTGCCATTTTTTAGCTTTAATAAGTACATTTCTTGTTTTCTCAGTGCTGCCACATGATAAAATAACATATGTTCTCAACTCCATCCATACCAAATGTCTGTGAAGCCTTAAATATCAAGCAGGCTAAACTGAACTTCATGCTGTTTAATGTTGCAGTTGGAGTGAAAGTCAATCCCAAAGGCAGAGGAGAGTCAGATGTCCAGAAGAACAAGATTCGTGGTATGCATAATAAACAACAACAACACACGCATACACTGGAGAACACAGATGTGCATTAAATATGGTTATTGCACTTCCTCCGCAGCTTGTTTTCGCCCCCCATTTGAATTGGGTTGATATTTTTAATAAACAGGATTGTCACAATGTATTTTCCAGAGAGGAACAGATATTGGAGGTAGGAGGTTGCAGCGAGTGTTGATTGTACGGGTCAATATCTGGATAAGCAGGAGGCGGGGGTGGGGTTCAGATTTATAGGATGACAGTGAATTGTTCTGTGCAGGTAGGCTCAGATGAAATAAATAAATCAGTAAAAACGTTCATGTGAAATACCATGTAATACCTTGAAAGTTTGAAGAAGGATTTTGTGATCAATATATGCAGTTAGAGGGAGCCAGCAAAGAGACATAAACACCAGAGAGAAAGACCAAAGTTGTGCGATTTTTTTTGCAAGAATACTGCAGCTGCTCACTTTTAAATAAGTCATATTTCTAAGTGTGGGATTCAGACAGGCAGAGACTGACCCGCTTAATAATGAAGGAACCAGAGGTAGATATGTTTTGTCTGTTTCTTGGCAACCACAGGAGGGTAATCCTAATCCTGACCCTTTGGTTGCCATCGTCCTGGTTCCTGACCTTAAAAGCGTGGCCGGGAAAAGTTACAGATGTTTGTTGACGACAGCGATCCAAGTGACATTGAGGCAGTGGTGACGCTTTGTCTTTAAAATGTTGTGTCACTGCAGTGCCGGTGGACGTCTTCTCTCCGAACTCTGAGTGGAGCGGTTTCTACGAGTATCTGGGGAAGAGGCAGGCCACCACGTTTACGGTTACTGGGTTCAATGCGACCAGCGGCAGAGTTAACGTGACATTACTGGAGACCAGCGGCGTGTCGATCAGGCTGTCAGGTAAAGATCAAAGAAATCACCCAAACTTAAATCGTTAGACTTTTATGAATTTTTCAATTTTTTTCTTTTTCTTTTCTTTTTTTTTTAATTATTAAATTTTGAGTTGCATCCCAAAAGGATCTATAACTGTGTTTTCACTGTCTGAAAACACAGTTATAGGTCAATGAAAACACAATAAACTGAAATAAAACCTATTTCTTGAGCCACTTTATTTTCTTAGTTTTTGGAAATCCTGTCACATGTGTTAGAAGTGATGAATTACATGTGAAATAAAAAAATACTTCCCCCCAATATCCCTAAACATGACAAACAAATACAGAATATTTCATATGGTACTGAAATAACGGCCTGTTTAACATGAAGGCAGTGCCGTAACACCACCTTTAGTGTCGTTAGTGACGTAGGAGCAACTACTTTCCAGGAGTTGAACCTGATAAACCAAATTTTAAATGCAGTGTAAGTAACACAAGTAGAAGCTGTGGGTGTAAATACACAGCGGGTTAGTAAAGATCCTGATTTTATTCACACTTGTTAGCAAGGCATCCCTGGTATCGATGCTGAAACAGGTGCAATCCGCATCATTTTTTATCAACACTGACAGTCTGCAAGGCAAAAAAAAAAAGAGTGCTGGAGCATACAGAGGAGAGAAATCGGTGATTAATACGTAAAATATTCCAACAAACAGTGACACTGGTGGAAATTATGAACAAGTCGTATATCTGGGCTCGTCTCCGTTACAGAACCTGAACAACATCACCTCCGATAGCAGTGCCCCAGTGCATATGATGTATTATTTTTATTCTTATATTCTGTAGCTGCATGGAGTGAGTTGTATGAAAATCACTGGCAGGTTACAGAAACTCAAATTTGACTTTTAGGATGTAAAATGGTTTCATTTTGAATTTGTGATATTCCTCAGAAGTAGTCTCGAACATTTCCAAAGTAGAGGCATGTAGCTGAGGCGTAGAAGTTCCCTTTTCCCCCCCAGAAAATGTTATAAAATTCAGATAATTCTGTTATTTGTATTTCCAGCAACAATGTTCTGTTTCTGTCTATGTAGGCACCTACAAGTCAGAGGAAAACCAGCTGCTGTTGAAGGTGTACCAGGTGAAGGGGCCGACAGAGCATTATTACAGCAAGTTTAAAAATGACAACTGGGCTATGGACGGATATGTAAGTAAAACCTCTTTATTTCCACGTGTCCTGAGGTTTTCGCACCCCGTTTTTAATCACCAGAATCAATACCGATATATCATCGGAAATATTTTTTTTGGGACAGCTCGATTGTAATAACTGCATATGAAGGAATAATTAAAATCAATAAATTATATAAATTACCGCCCTGCCCTGCTCGGCGCCATCTATACCACATTACTCATCTCACACCTACATGCCTGGACAGGGTCTTGTGAAAGAGGTGTATTGAAATTCCAGACGAATCCTCAGTCACATTATGCAAAGTAGATTTAGAAATACATAGAAGTCTAATAATTTCAAATAGAGGCATAATGGGGTTTACACACACACAAAAAAAAATGTTATTTCCATAACAATGGTGTAAGAAATACATTTTAATATAAAATCAGCACCATCAGGGGAAATTGGTAAAAGTAATCAGAATTCAGAAATCCATAAACAGCATATGCATTTGTTACTATGCATGCAATGTGCACTAAAAGAGCTGTCAGTCTTGTTATTTTCAAAAAGAAGTGTTTGTCTGTCTGCAGCATTTCCTTTCTTTTGTTCACTTTAAAGAATAATGTGGTTTAAAAAAAAAAAAAGAAGACATACAAGAGTTAACTAAGTTTGTAAAGGAAGCAGACTCTTATGTGTGGCATCTCACCACCATCTGCCGTCTCAGTGATCTTTCCCGCCCAGCGGACACAGCGGGACAGACATTCCAGCAACTACACCACTGAGAAAAAAAGTTTGAGCCACTAAAAGTAAACTAAGGATGCTTTCAGAGACACTACTTTATACAATGTACAATATACAGGGGAGAAAAAAAAATCAATATTTGATGTAACCACCCTTTGCCTTTAAACCGGCACCAATCCTCCGAGGTATACTTGTGCGTCGCGTTTCAAAGCGAACTGGCAGATAGGTTCTTCCGAGCGTCTTGGAGAACTTGCCACGGTTCTTGTGGCTGTTTCGGCTGCGTCTGTCTCTCCTGATGTGGAGATCAGGGATCTGTGGGGCCCATTCAGCTGTTGCAGGACTTTGTGTTCTCTTGTGTTCTTTATGATTCGGGCTGTATGCTTGGAGTTGTCACGCTGCTGAATGATTTTGCAGACGCCCATCTGACAGAACTGCAGGATGGATAAGAGGCGAAACATCTCAATGTGCCTCGAAATCCTGCGCAGCACTCCATATCTGTCAATATGCACAGATAGAGACTTTTTTTTTTACAGAAAAATTGGAATCTGTTCCTTCACCTACTGAAATGAAGGATTATTTAGATTTTCCTGAAAATACGTTTTTTGCTTTCTTGCTAAAATTGAGACAATCAGCACAACATTAGCGGGCCTGGCTTAGCATTAATACTGGGATACGATCCACCTTCTAGTGCTGCTAACGCTCACTAATTAAGAAAACAAGCAGTGAAAACAACTCTACAGGGGATTGCAGGCGTTTCTTTCAGGTGCAGTGACTTCTTGGAGGTTGTGCGGTTTTCCTGGTCTGCTTCATCCGGTGGAGGGTTGTGAAAATGCAGCTGACATAGGACCAAAGACAGAGTACACCCTGGACAGGATACACCTGTCAGCGATGACACAAAATGATGGTCAATCGGAGTGTCGGAAATCTCACTTTTCTGCTCAGTATAAATTGCTGTCATGCAGCGAAACGAGGAAGTGATTTCAGACTCAGTCTTGCTGTCACCTCAGAGCTCCTCCGGCGCGCAGTCGGGACTCACCAAGACCTTGTTCCAGCATGTAACTCTCCATAGGTCCACAAATCTGGGGCTCAGTTATTGTTGAATTATTGCTCTGTGTATTCAGGCTTGCTCTCAGATGTGCGTACGTTTTTGATTCCTTTCTCTACATCATAAATTCCTGAAATTGGCAATGTCATATTTGAATACGCTTGTTGTCGATCGTGTCTGTACAGAAAGTAAGAAAAAAACAAAGAACAGGCAGGTTTGTTTGTTGTTCCATGTATCGTATAGAGTTTTTAATTTAATTAAATATTTGAAGCTGGGATTTCTTGAAAATCGTGTCTTCAGCAAAGGAAAGGATCAAAAGTCAGACGTTTGATTTGTTGACGGGGAGGAGGAGGAGAGACGGATTGATGTAGGAAGTGAGTTGGGAAGGGTGTCCAGACTTCTGAAAAACAATCTTACAGTTAGAAGATGAAATTTTGATTTGTGGGTAAAACTTTGCTGCTTCAGGGTGCTATACATCACATTTATTCAACATAATGTGAAATCCATAAAAAATAAAAAACAGCACATTGAATGATTGATTGTTTTGATTAAATATAAAAATCACATTCCTTAATAATTTTTTTAAAAAGTCAGAACTAAGGAAACCTATTGGAAGAGAGATGAAGCATCTTCAAGAACAAAAAAACAAAAGTCCAGTTGCCTTTCACTGGACCGCTCTGATTCATCTGTTCACCCTATACCCACACCGGCCTCATACATCTTCTAATACTTTGTGCCATCACCACATGATTCTTTAAAGTCTTTCGTCAGTCATTAATAAGAAATAAAACCTTGTCTCTGTGTATCAAAGTTTCATTTTATTTATTTTTTTGGTATTTCCATGAAAATAATCCCTTCATGCCTTCAAATAGCAAAGAAGTAACTCGACACTGTTGCCTCCTGTAGTATGTGCAGACCTATGAGTTATCCACCTCTCTCTCCATCACTGGCTGCAGCTCAAGCACACCAGCTGACCAACAGCTCTCCTCAAACCCTGTGAAACTACTTTATACTGCACGATGCAGGTTGTAATATTGGAGTAATTCAGCTATTCTGGTAGTTTAATCGTAGCAACTGCTTGAGTTCCTTAAAGATCATCCAAGAGGCTACATCAGTTCTGACTGACTATTTGGGAGTTCCACATACTGATATCCTTAAGGAGCCATTAACACCTGAGTTCCGGTTTCAACTGGGGGTTTGTTGCTCCTCCCCTTCGTTATGTGAGTCCCCCTGCCACAAAGGGGTTCATTAGGGTCTTTTGTGGATACGTGTGGATGTGGTTTCATCTTCCTGAGGAGAGATTTTAGGACTGAACTGTAAACAGGTGAGAGGTGATGCCTCAGACCTCCACCTCTGTTGAGGGATTGTCTTTCCAGTTAGCTGGCTTCTTTCAACCCTTCTCTCAAACCACCTGTCCTCCCTGGCCAAAATCTGTACGTTGTTGTCTTCGAATGAGTATCCTTTGTCCTTCAGATGCAGGTAGACTGCTGAGTCCTGTCCTGAGGAGGTGACTCTTCTGTGTTGAGCCATGCGCTTGTGGAGTAATTCAGCTGTTTTTGAAAGCTGTTAGCAACTAGAAAATCCCCGGTTTGCGTCCCTGTTGGGACACCCGGGATCTTTCTGCGTGGAGTTTGCATGTTCTCCCCGTGCAGCGTGGGTTCTCACAGGGTTCTCCAGCTTCTTCCCACAATCCAAACACATGCTTAGATTAATTAGTGATTCTAAATTGTCCGTAGGTGTGAGTGTGAGTGTGCTTGGCTGTCTGTCTCTAAGTGTAGCCCTGTGATAGACTGGTGACCTGTCCAGGGTGTCCCCTGCCTTCACCCTAAGTCAGCTGGGATAGACTCCAGGCCCCCATGACCCTAGTGAGGATTAAGCGGTGTATAGATAATGGATGGATGAATGTTTTCTAAACAATTCTGAAGAAGTTAACAGGATGGATTCTTTGGGTTTGTTAAGTATGGACCCAAAAGATACCAAATTACACATCACGTGATGTTTAAGAAGGTTTTCACTAGAAGGAGTCTTTAATGCTGCAAAAACACATCATCCCATCATCATTGCAAATGTTTCCTAATAAACTATAACAATTCAGCAACTATTGAACCAGTCTGAACTGTGCATTTACAATTACTTGAAGAGCTCATTTGCAAAAACAGATAACTCCATCTTCACAAACCTTCAGAAAACCCACTTCTCCACCATCTACCTGAGACAATATCATTAATACTTAAGTTATCTCTGTTTTTGAGTCAAATCCACTCAGCTTCAGTTTGATTGATATTATCTCAAGCAAACAACAAAAAAATACATTTTCTGAGTTATCTGCTTTTGAAAATGAACTCTTCACTTATTTTATCAGTGGTGAAACTGCATCCTGAAAACTCCTTTGCTTTCCAGGTTACTGCAGAATCCGACCAGAAGACCTTTGTCTACCAGGGCCACATCCACAGTAAAGACTTTGGCAAGTTCCATCTGACGAGGCAAGGTGAGTCTGTTTGCACCACTGTGGCCCTGCAAGTCGTACAGCCTTTACTTTATTAGATATTTGATCACATACAATAGTTTTTATCAGTGGTGAAGTGTTTAAAATCGTGTAAAATACATTTAATTCCAGATTGATTAGATATAAGAAGCAGAGAATCCAGACAAACAATGCAGGAAGCATCTGTTATACATGCGCAGACAGTTTATGCATGTGTCGGTTTATCTGTGTCTGTGTCCCCAGGCCCTGTAACCATGGCGATGGACCCTTCAAACCCCTACACAAACAGCAGCTCTGTGGCAGCAGCCATCTTAGTACCTTTCTTTGCCCTCATCCTCTCTGGATTTGCCTTCTACCTCTACAAGCACAGGTAAGCTATATCCTCAGCGCCAATCCATCAGAGAAAAACAGACAACCGGCAGAGTAGAATACAAAACAGGTTTTGCCTTCTGACTTTGCGTGCTATCTTTGTCTGCTAAAACAAAGTGGTAGGTTAGCTGCCAGAGCCAAAATAATACCAAAGCACATTTTTAAGTATGTGGAAGGAGAAGTGTAAATAGGCTAACCCAATTTTCTTGTAATTATCCCACACACAAACAGCATCTGATGATAGATGAATAAATAAAGGAAAATGTCTGCTTTGAATTAGTTTTTTATAAAGATAAAGGATTTTCTGTCCATTTAAGGGGTTTCTCTTTTTCACTGAGCTTATATTCCCTAATTGGATTTTTTTTCTAATCAAGTCATATATTTCAAACATGTCCTTTAAGCATCCAACTTTGTAACTTGTTTGCCTTTGCATTGCATTATGGTCACATGATGCTCCAGTTAATGAAGGTCTTCTAACTGCATGTCTATCTTCAGGTCAATACTGATGAAAGACTGTGAGACTGGGCAGAATCCCTCTCATTCTGATAGACTGACACCAAAACCTGACCCTGTACTCTTTTTTTTTTTAGGAGCAATCCTCGAAGCCCCCTGCATTAAAGAAATTAATTATACATTTTTGAAAACATAATCAGTTTGTGAGTTCTTCATTCCAAACTGAGCAGATGAGGTGACTGTTTGATACTTTTTAAAAGGACAGACAAGACACTTTAAAATGTAATTATAGCTCGAAAACTCCAAGCGCACCACGGAGGTTAAATCCGATTGACCTCAGATATTAATTATTGTTCCAAGAAAGTTCACAGAAGACTTACAATGCCTTAAGATGCCAGATAATTCGGAACTACACTGAGGGTAAAATGTCATCATTATGTTTCCCGTTTAAGACTTGTGTGACATTTTACATCTAAAGGAGATTCTGACTCGTGCACTTCATCACTCGAAGTTCTACAAAGTCGCGTCACTCATCTAACAATAGATATTATTACACATTAATCTGTTGGCTTGTCATTTTTTTTGGTAGCACAATTTGGAGCCTTGAAGTTCAGACTTAGGGATGTTTTTTGAGGAAACACAAACACTCTCTGTTACAGTTAGTAATGTTCTTGCTGTCGTAGCTAGTTAGCATAGTGAACCATGTGAATGCTGAGATGGAGAGCTGTTTGCAGGGCCATGCACACTTACACAGATATCATTAGCTGACGAGGTTTCTAATCTACGATCTCCATCCTCACATTACTTAGTTTGCATTCCATTTGACTGATTGCCAGTTTGCATGTGCAATGCTAGTTGATGTATATTAAAGCTGATGGTTGTATGCAGGACATTGTCTGCTGACACAGATGACAATGAGAGACCAAAAGACACCTGGGGGCCTGGCGGCAGGTAAGACTGGCACCTGTCATCCGTCTGGTTGGAACAGCAACCAGACCTCCGCCCGCCGCCACATCCTCCGTCAAACTTCTCATCTCTTGTTTTGTTTTGTTTTTTTTTGTTTTTTTTTGGTTGTTATTTTTGTAGACTTATTTTTTTTTCCTCATGCTGTTTAGTACGGCTGCACAATTAACCAAAAAATGTCATTCTAATTTTCTGAAGTGAAATGAATATAAATTAAAAAGTGTAAAACCGAAATGAACGTCAGACCAGCGATAAACGGAGCAAGAACACTCCTCGCATCAGCTAAAGGTAATTGGGGTGACATTTACACTCAGGGGGAAAAAATAAAAAAAAAATGAATGAGTAATTTTTACGTTTTTGAAAGCAGTGCAGCCCTACTGTGTTTAAACAGCGATCATTTAAAGCTATAAGAGGGGCATTTTATTCTGTCTTCGATCTCATTGTCATCCTTTTGTCAGCATGATGTCATCAAGAACAGTATTTGGCTTTCTATGAACTGGTTCGTCTGTAAACCGTCGCTCTTTCTGTTACCTGTAACCGGCATCGCTTCACTAAACAGTAGATGTAAGGCTAAGTGAACTTTGCTGGCATAGAGCAAACCAACATAATGGCAAGCCAACAGAAACAGAAATGATTCCATCACTTAACAATTTAGAGCAGTAGCTTAAATGAGAACTCAAAGCAAGGTGTGAGTGTGTACGCTGCAGTTTCCTCCTGGTTCCCCCCCCATATGTCTGTACAGTATGTATAATACTGTCAAACCAATTATGCGTGCCATTTTTCATTCTACCAATAAAATTAAACTATTGCACCTACAGCCACGACCGGCGCAGCGATTTAAGCTACTGCCACGCAGGGAGGTCTGCGGTGTGTGTTGGTGTGTGCAGTTTTGTAAAGTAATGGGTTGAGCATGTAGGGTAGGCTTAGTGGCTCCCCAGGGTTGGATTTCTACCAGTGCGCACACACTCACACACACACTCACACACTCACACACACGTACATACACTCCTAATGAGGTCAGAGTCAAACAGCGTTTCAGCTGCAGCACTCCTCCCTGCTAATAGTTCCACAGGGTTTGGGAGTAAGTGATTATATCTAACTGGATTATAGGACCTGATTATCCAAAAATGTAATCTGCGACAAACAGACAAATTAGGAGGGGGTAGTCATATTTCACCGTGTATCCGTTTGAACCCCTGCAGTAAGTTTCTTAAAAATCCTCAGTGAGGCAGACTGTGTAATAACAAATATACATATTTTGGAGCTACAACTAGTGGATGATAGCTGGTTACACACTCATGTGAGAGGAGGAGATGAGCGCCAGGCAGCCGAACCACTGAAGCACACGGTTATGGTGCTTGTTCTCACTCCTGCTATAATTTTCCCTGCAATTTGTAGATTTTTTTTTTTACCAGTAACTTGCTCTTACAAATTTTGCGCCTTTAATCTCAAGAGCAAAGTTGCAGAGCGACGTGTCTAACAAGACAGCTGATGGGACAAGAGGGGTAATTTAAGTTCACACTTATGAACAGGCTTCTCTCATCCAAAAGTGATGTTTGGACACTCTGCTGCCCAGGAATTCTCAAACTAATGCATCCTTCGTTTCCCTGAACACCTGTGATTTTTATGTTGGAGATGCTGAATAGGTCAAATTAACACATGGTGTCTACGGTCTGTTTCATTTGACAAACTTTTCACACTCATGATGAAGTCAAAATGATCACCTTGACTTCAGATGAGGAGTGTTGTCTTGCAGTCGGCTGAAGTCTTGTTCCTAAAGCTCCGTCACGGTTTTTTGAACAGTTGGGGGCACAAAGACTCCAAAACAAACACACACATATACATATGAAATCCAGCAGAACCAGGGCCGCCTGACAGATGTATCCCAGTATTCCCTGGCCTAATCATCATATTTAATCAGTCACTGATTCATGAGGGATAAGCGATTCAGCAACAGCCGTATACCGGGCAGGCAGGTTTGAGCTTGTTTGTTGGAAATGTCTGCCTGTGATTATATAGTGGAGAGAGCTGTGAGACTCCAACCATATAGTCTTTGTGCCAGCAAAGAAAAAGACTGCTGAGCTAAAAGCTTTCGTGGAGCGGCAGACCGGTGTTGATTCTTACTGAGCTCAAAACTACAAGTGACAATTTTACATGGCACTGAGTCAGTTAGAGAAATCACTGAGTGCAGGTTTAGGGTTGTGTTATAGATAGTGTCAGAGCAGGTTAAGAGTGGTGGTGTGTTTCATTTTAGGTGTGTCTGTTGAGAGCTGATACATATCGTACTGAAACAAGGACAAGAAGAAGTTAGAACAACTTGATTTTGCTTTCTTAACATGTCTATGATTGTGCGATTTGCTCGTCTTTCTAGGTTTCAGAGATTTGCACACTTTTGCTTGTGTTGTGTTTTCTGTTTCTAAACATTTGCAAGGTAACTTTGTGACTGCATCATTAATGCAATGTTGCTTCTTTTTCTGTTTTTCAGGACGCGTCCAAAGGTCCAGTTCAATGGCTATGTCGGCCATGAGAGCTCCAACGGTCAGGCATCGTTCGAAAATCCAATGTATGATACCAACATGAAGCCCACTGAGGCTAAGGCAGTTCGATTCGATACCACGCTCAATACAGTCTGCACTGTGGTATAGTCCACCAAACCCGCCACTGTTCGTACGGTGGTTCGGTCCAACCTCCATGTTGCAGTCTGCGGTGTGGTTTAACCAAAACAACAACAAAAAAAAAGAAAGAACAAACTTAGGATTTGGACTCGACAACGTGAGCAGTGTTTGTGTAGCATGCCGGTCCCGTCGGCATAATCTGCACAGCTCTACTCCACCCCCCTACCTGAACAATGGTATCGTCCACCTCTAGTCAGAAAGAGAAGGGAGTAGACAGTGATGCCAACGAGTAACACCAAGTCTGTTGTTCAGGAGGTCGATGCTTGGACTAGAATTCTTCTTGAGCACTGTTGCAAATCAGACGTCAGAGAAAATCACAGACAAGACGGTAAAATTAGCTGAATTCCCTCTGAGAACATGCGAGTCCAGTGTCAGGTGACCCATCCTCATTATTGAAAGGGCTTCGTATGACCAGTGTCGTATGGCCCTACAGCGAAATAGTGGTTTATCCCAATTCAACCCCCATGATAGATTTGCACAGTGGTATAGGCTTACTAACTCCCCTGCTGCAGGCCAGACGTGGGTTCGACCGATGTAAGGTTCAACCCTCAGGGGAAGCACATAGACTATTCCACGCTTCAGCCCCCTCCAGACGTCGGATGGTTCATGTGAGCCAACATAAACCATCATTAGCGCTGGACCAAAAAAAGCTCCCACTGGACTTCCGTCACGCTGGACTTGACCTGACTGGACTCTTTGACATCATGACAGTTTGCAGAGTCTGTTTTGATGGAATCCAATATTGATTGTACAGCCTGCTGTAAAGTTGACAACCAAATGCAGTCAAAGCAGTGATAAGACAAACCAGACCAGTTCCTTTAAAGGAAACGACACTCTCATTCAGCACTAGACACTGGTTTTAAACCAGTACGGAGAGCGGCCGACCAGTGCTAAACAAGCCAGGGTCAAATTGCGGTTGCAGATAAGTTTGAGATGTTTTAGCCTACTTGGAGAGCTGAATGAGTTTTAATAAAGCAGGACAATCACAGAGTTAGTTTAGTTGTCAGATGGGTTCCTGTAATTCTCTTTAACTTCTGCCACTATATTGCCTTCTATGACAACGTCTACCCACAGAACATGGCAACTAATTGGGCTAAAACATACCAAATTAAGCTTTTGCAAACAATCTTTCCCCCGGGTTTAGTACCAGAACCTGTGAGCTAGTTGGAGATGAGTTTTTAACCTTTTAGGATGCTATATAGAGGTACTACACACTTAAAGTCAGACACTATAAAACGCCACAGTAGCACTAGGCAGACTGTGCTGAACCAGAAAACCAGACATTTGAGTTTCCCGGTTGGTGTACACTGTGGACGGGTTTCCGAAGACCTGTCTAACACAATCAAAGAGTCAGACAACTGATTCTTGTTCTTGGACTAGCCAGGATTCTGTGCTTGGTGGCTGAACAAGTGGAAGCCTGGAGGCAATAAGCTGTCAGGATCGTCGACTGCTGCAATCAGCTGTGGCCAAATCCAGGAAATAATTTGTCTTCTCGTAACTCTGGTTGGGACTATCAGTCAAGTGATGACTGATTTCTTTTTTTTTTTTTTTTTTTCTACACTATACTCTCCAGCCACAAAAATCAGAAATAGATGAACTGATTAACAGACAGACTGGTTGACTGACAGAAATCGGACGGACGGACACAGACAAAAGGACAGGTAGACACCTCTGTCAGTCGTGCTGGAAAAGAGAGACAAGGACATGTTGCTGTGGAAACAGAGGCAAATAGCTGTCTCTTATTGTCTCTTCTGGCATTTTTCTTCAGTGAAGATATTGATGAACAAACTCATATGTTCAAAAACCCAGTGGCCCCATGGGACTTCCCAAACCACTGCTGCTGGGGACCCTAAAATATAAACTTTATATAAACCGCACAAATTTTGCACTAGTGTGTTTTTCTGACTGGGTTATGAAAAAAAAAAAGAATAATTTTTGGGTCTGAAATGGGTTTGAAAAATGAGTCATTCAAAAAAAAGAGAATTTTATTCAAAAACTTCTATCTTTAAAAAGATGACAAAAATGACTAATTACAGGGTTACAGAGTGTTTGTATATACACATTTATATTTCACACTCCCTGTTAGCAGAAGGTGTGACCACATGCTATACTGTTGTTTATTTCGTTGCCATGACAACATGCTTGCCAACCGGAAAGTTGGGAACAGTTTACCTGTGGACCTCCAAGCAAGAAGGGAAATGGTGTCACATAGAGATTTCCTGCCTTTTTTTTTTTTATTTTTTAGCTGTTTCTGAAAGCTCATACTGAATAATGTGACATAATTCATAACACGCAGTAGAAAAAAAACACTGGTACCAACTGTGAGATTTATTTACAGACGCTTCTCTGTATGGTAAAGTAAACTGTGCACAGTTTTAGATACGGTAAAACTAAGATTAAATAGTAGCACAGCTTTACTTTACCAGCTGGTCACATGTGTTAGTTTTCAGAAACATCACGTGACTGTTTGTCAAACTCTCTTTACGAAGACGCGTCGTAAACGTTCCTTTCAGCTCACATTATCGTGCATCCCTTCAACACATGACATATCCGATGCACGCGCTCTTATTTGCACGCGCCTTTTGAAAGATCAGTTTGAGAATCGGTCACATAAGGCAGAGAAAGAAAACAAAAACAGTATGAAGACAACATGCACAATTATTGTTGTCGACAGTTATCGCCCCCCTGACCCCCCCCCCTCCTTCCCCCCCCCAAAATCGTTTGAGAAATACCTCGTGTGCAGAGAGTAAGTTACATCCTGCTTATCAATGCTGGAACCTCACTGCAACAAATACACAAGCTTAGCGAGTGCAACCTAGTCTGCTTTTTTTTTTTTTTATCCTGGTATTTTAAAGTCAAACATGTCCTTCTAACAGCCGTGAGTCTGCAGGATCCAAGAGAATTTTCCGTAGTTTCAAATCACTTACCAAGCTTGTTATTTCTCGCAGTGTCCTCTCAAGATATTTTTATTTTTTCGAAAGATGCTGCACTTGGTTTAGATCACAGATGTAACTGCTTTCAGTGTGTGTGTGTGTCTCTCTCAGTGTCTTCAGGCCCATTTGCTGTTTCACACTCCATGCACAACATTCTGGGTTCATACATCAGCCGTTTGCTTTAAGCTGCATGATTTTTATGGTCCAAAAGGAAATTTCCTTTTTTTGTTTGTTTCCATTCAACCTCAATCCATAGTACTGTCATATATTGTATTTACAAATAATATATCAAAAAATCCATTCATGCGCACACACGTTCTCAGATGGTGAGGAGAATGCAACGAGAGTCCGATGAATAAAAAAAACATACGCGATGATAATTTTGCCCATGAAACGTGTTATATTACAGTTTTGTATTCTGGGGAAAAAGACTAATTTCACTGAATTTAATGGATTTTCCTCAAATACTGAAAAGAGAAAAAGAAAAACCACATTTGGCATGAGGAGGTTGTCACATCCACCTGTTTTGAGATAAATGAGACTGAATTAACAAGCAAATGGCAGACTCTGTTTACATTTTCAGCTCATTTAATTGAAAATGACTCTCCCCTAGACCTGAATGCCGCAAATGAAATGTCCTGAAACAATGGTGATTATGCGAGGAAGCGTGACTACAGGATGTTGTTGGGTTTGTAGCGTCCGTTGTCATCCTGTCGCTTATGGCCTCGGTGTCGGGGTCAAGGACAGACCGGCCCAGTGTGATGAAAGGAAAACAAACAAAAGTCATATACAGATGTTCGTAGTAGTTAATATGCTTCCAATAGCTCGACGAGACAGAAGCCACACATTCAGAATCTCTTCACAGGAATAAACAAGACATCTGTAAACAACAGTAGAGCATCTGCTCCGAAGATCATGAGCCTCCTCTCTTTTTATTGCAAGAATGCACCCCGTGCCTCTGTTTTAATTGATTTAATTAATTCCGTTATGATTTCCTATGGAGTCGAGAGCGTATAATAGAGCAGGAAAATTAGAGGCTGCAAGGTTTCCACAGGCATAATAAAAGGTCTAGTTTTTAACAATTAATGACAGCGATCTGATCTCCTAGTGCGCCTGAAAGAGAGAACTCAGACTTCACGTCGTCTCTGTTTATTCTGGCGCGTCAGAATCAGAACCGTACCGCCGAGGTTGGATTTCGCATCTCGTGTACCCGCAGAAATTCAGCTCAATCCAAAGTGGCTTTCAGTGCAGATATCCAGCTTACAGTAGAATTCTAAATTTGGTACAATATTTCTGTAAGCTCTCGTGGATGCTAAATGAGCTCCAGATTTCCCTCCCGCTAACCCGTCACAGTGTCCCTCAGTCACCAGCTGTGTGCCGACAGATGTTATCTGCCATTTTGACGCCTGTTTCTTTCGGCAACTGCCTTTACTCACAGGTTTTCCCGCGTATTCATACGTTTAGGGTGTGATCTCATTATGTCAGCCTAAAGTTAACTTTGTCTTTTTATCATATGGTCTCGCTGCAAGTTGAGTTTTATGCCAAAGTATGACAGTGCAAAATGTGTATTCATATGAGGATGACTTAGTTGTCTTTGTGAACGTACTTCTTTACATTTCATTTCCCTGATTCCCAGACTAAATTTAGATTAAAGATGTGCCGAGTCATGGCGAAGGTGCAGACAAAATTAGAGTGAACCCAGGCCTGGATTTCATCTAATGTTTATTTGATAGGGGCAGATGCAGTGTACTCAGACAATTGCACAACAATTATCACTGCAGCAACTGCTAATTTCCAACTCCTGTCCCTCGAGGGGCTTTTAAAATAAGACATAAAAAAAGAGTTTAAACCATGTGGTGCATTTTTGCTGACCTCATAGAAAGAGCAGTGCAACTTACCAGCATACAGACACAAACACATATAACCTGTGTACATACAGGATGTATATGTACACGTGTATTACCCCCAACAGACGCCCCCACACTTTGCCAAAGCGCTCAATTACAGCCGAACAGAAATATTTCAGATTTTTATTGA